AAATAAATATTAAAAAAAAAAATTCTCTCTCTCTCTCTCTCATCTCTCACTCTCTCTTTAAAAAAAAAAACTATTAATAGGTACATAAAAGTTAAGAAAATACATGACAATTTTGTAACGAAGATAAAATAGTATGCTGAGGAAAAAGTAAAGCTTTAAAAATTTATTCTGGAATAGGGGCTAGAGTTGTGGCTCAGTGGTACAGCACTTGCCTAGCACATGCGAGGTCCTGGGTTTGATCCTCAGCAAAACATAATTAATAAATAAATAAATAAATAAATAAATAAATATATTGTGTCCAACTACGACTAAAAAATAAATATTTTTTAAAAATTTATTCTGCAATATAAGAAAGATTGAAAATACATTAAACACCAATTTTAAGATATTATACCAACAGAATAAACCCTTAAAGAAAAGACATTTTAAAGGTAAGATCAGAATTGGGTTAAACAGAAAACAGTTATAATATGAGGAATCAACAAAGCTAGTTCTTAGAAATGACTTTTGATTGATGTGACTCTCATAAGTCTGATATAAAAAGAAAAAGAGAAGAATAAACAAACAGTATTAGAAATGTAAAAGGGCACATAATTATAGAGATATCAGGGCCAAAAATAAAATACAAAAAAACCTTATGCCAGCCAGAAGCAGTGACATAAAGCTACTCAGGAGGCAGAGGAAGGAGTATGCAAGTTGGAGAACAACCTGGGCAACTTAGGGAAACACTGTCTCAAAATAAGAAACACAAAAGGCAGTAGTAAAGCACCCCTGGCTTCAATCCCTAGTGCTGCAAACAAAACCTTACACCAACATGTTTAAAAATGAGGTGAAATGGAAACATTTCATGGAAAAATATAAAAGATTCAATCCAAATGGCAATGTAGGGCTAAGGATATAACTCAGTGATAGAACAATTGCCTAGCATGCTGGAGGTCCTGGGTTTCATTCCCTGCATCACAGGAAGGGGGCAGGTGAAGATCAAAGATGATAACAAAATGTAATACAAGACCTTTGATTAAATCTTGAACCCCATTCCTTCCCCTCAAATCCTATAAAAGTCATATATGTAAATTAAAGAATTTGCATTTGGAAAGCATATGTTAGATGATGCTATTCTATCAAGGTTAAGCTTCTTGAAGGTGACAATAGTATTGTGGTCATGTAGAGAATACCCTATTCTTGTTATTGTTGAGTGGTGCTGGGGATTGAACCCAGGGTCTTATGTATAAGAGGTAAGCACTCCACCAACTGAGCTATATCCGCAGCCCCTGAGAATACCCTACTCTTTTAAGAGTTACTTGCTGAATTAGGATAGATGTTTTTTGTTTTTAGCTTCTCTGAAAATAATTCAGGGAGGGAGGGAAGAAAAGAGGAGAGGAAGGAAAGGGAATTTTATCTATCGATAATGTAGCAAAATGATAATTGAAGAATATTTTTGAAAAGATTAAAATTAGATAAAAATTAGGGAAAAAATCAACTCAATGGGCCAGGGTTGTGGTTCAGTGGTAGAGTGCTTGCCAAGCATGTGTGCGGTAATGGGTTCGATCCTGGCACCACAGAAAAAAATAAATATATAACAAAATAAAGGTATTGTGTCCATCTACAACCAAAAAAAAAAAAAATTAGCTCAAAAAGAAATAGAGACCAAGTGTGGTGGCGCATGCCTGTAACCCCAGCTACTCAGGAGGCTGAGCCAAGAGGATTGTAAATTTGAGGCTAGCCTACGCAACTTAGTGAGACCCTGTCTCAAAATAAAAAATAAAAGGGGCTGGGGCTGGGGTGTAGCTAAGTGATAAAGCATCCCTGGCTTCAATCTCTAATACTGAAGGAAGGAAGGAAGGAAGAAAGGAAGGAAGGAAGGGAGGGAGGGAGGGAGGGAGGGAGGAGGAAGATAGAAATTTCAAATGGACCTATAATCATTAAACAAGTTCAATTAGTAATAAGAAAATTTCCTATAAACAAAAGAGCAGACCCAGCCAGACTTATAGGCAAGTTCTACCAATATTGAAGAAGTGGATGATTCTAATCTTTCATTAATTCTTTCATAGCAGGTACTATAAACATGATATCAAAACTACTTACCAACACAAATGTAACAATGTCAAATGAAATTTATCTAATATAATTCAGTAAAACATGAAAAAGATCATGATAAACTCAGGTTATGGCCAGGATGGATATACTCTAAAAATGCAAGTTTAGTTCAACATAAGAAAAGTTACTTATTTTATAAGTAGTTACACACACACACACACATACAATTTTATAAAAAATATCTCAAACACCTTAAAGAAATTATACCTTGATGTATGTAGAAAAGTAACTAAATCCAATAAATACTCATAATAAAATACACAATAAAAGAATTCAGGGAAGTAACTGAATATAAAATTAACATATGAATAGCTTTTATATATATAAATGTTAAACTATTAAAGGCAACAATTATACAGAAGATCACATATAAAACAAGGAAAATTAAAATTTATAACATAAGAAATGTACAAAGCTATACAAGAAAAATTTTAAAAATTTTAAATGTGCAAAGCTATACAAAAAAGTTTTAAGCATTAGACCAAAACACTAAAGTAGGTTTGAACAATGGAAAGGTATCCTCTGATGATGTTCAGGATAATTCAATGCTATATAGATGTCAGTTATGCCTAAATTAATTTTTAAAAAGTCAATGCAATAATTCAATCCCTATCAAAATGTCAACATGCTATTTTATGTAGTCACACCAGACATTAAGGTTCATATGGAAAAACAAATATGTACAAAAACAGTTAAGAAAACATTGAGCTACATGTGGTGGCACATGCCTGTAATCCCTGAGACTCACTCAGGAGGCAGAGGCAGGAAGATTCAAGGCCAGCCCCAGTCAATTTAGTAGGACCCTGACTCAAAACAAAAATTTTAA